GATGCTGTGGGAGTATGGCTACAGTACGATGAAAGACTATTCGTACTTACATTGCACAGTTTGGGATGCTGTAGGAGTATGGCTACAGTACGATGAAAGACTATTCGTACATATAGTGCACAGTTTTGGATGCTGTGGGAGTATGGCTACAGTACGATGAAAGGCTATTCGTACTTATATTGCACAGTTTGGGATAATGTAGGAGTATGGCTACAGTACGATGAAAGTCTAATCGTACTTATATTGCACAGTTTGGGATGCTGTGGGAGTATGGCTACAGTACGATGAAAGGCTGTTCGTACTTATATTGCACAGTTTGGGATGCTGTGGGAGTATGGCTACAGTACGATGAAAGGCTATTCGTACTTATATTGCACAGTTTGGGATGCTGTGGGAGTATGGCTACAGTACGATGAAAGTCTGTTCGTACTTATATTGCACAGTTTGGGATGCTGTGGGAGTATGGCTACAGTACGATGAAAGGCTATTCGTACTTATATTGCACAGTTTGGAATGCTGTGGGAGTATGGCTACAGTACGATGAAAGTCTGTTCGTACTTATATTGCACAGTTTGGGATGCTGTGGGAGTATGGCTACAGTACGATGAAAGGCTATTCGTACTTATATTGCACAGTTTTGGATGCTGTGGGAGTATGGCTACAGTACGATGAAAGGCTATTCGTACTTATATTGCACAATTTGTGTTGTTGTGGGAGTATGGCTACAGTACGATGAAAGACTATTCGTACTTATGTTGCACAGTTTGTGTTGTTGTGGGAGTATGGCTACAGACCCATGAACGGCTATTCGTACTTATATTGCACAGTTTCTGATGTTGTGGGAGTATTGCTACAGGACGGTGAAAGGCTATTCGTTGTTATGTTGCACAGTTTGTGTTGTTGCAGGAGTTTGACATAGTACGATGAAAGGCTATTCGTACTTATATTGCTCAGTTTGTGTTGTTGTGAGAGTATGGCTACAGACCCATGAAAGACTATTCGTACTTATATTGCACAGTTTGTGTTGTTGTGGGAGTATGGCTACAGAGCCATGAAAGGCTATTCGTACTTATATTGCACAGTTTGTGATGTTGTGGGAGTTTGACATAGTACGATGAAAGGCTGTAGTAGTAGTGTATTAGACATAGTAGTTGTAGTAGTAGCTGCTTGTAGTAGTAGTAGTAGAAGTAGCAGAGGTAGAAGACATGGTATTATTATTACTGTTTCTTCTTATTATTATTATTACTAGTAGTAGCTGTTGGTGTTGTTGTTGTGTTGTAGTAGTAGTGGTCGTGGTGGTGGTGGTAGTAGTAGTGGTAGCGTTAGTAGTAGTAGAAGAAGTAGTAGAAGTAGTAATGGTAGTAGTAGTAATGGTTGTAGTAATAGCAGTAGTGGTCGTTGTAGAAGTAGTAGTAGTAGAAGTAGTGGTAGAAGTAGTAGTAGTAGTAGTAGTAGTAGTAGAAGTAGTAGTAGTAGTAGTAGTAGTAGTAGTAGTAGTAGTAGTAGAAGTAGAAGTAGTAGGATGAGGAGTTGTAGGTGGAGGAGTTTTAGTCATAAATGTGAAGTGTATGTGTGAATGGCCAGCATCTTGTACTGAATACTGTAGTTGTCCACGCGTTTCCCTTGGCCCCATCCAGCTGCAGTACCGCGTGTACACCACTAGCAGGAAACACGGAACAGACATGTTTATGTTTCCCATATCTTCATCACCTTGTGATTATGACTGATACAAGTATCATTATACCTGTCTACATCGTCAGGCCCAGGGGCAGGTGTCAGTGGTGATGAGATGACAGAAGATGATTGGTCTAGGAGAGGGGCAACAAAGTGACGCTACGTTGGTAAAGGTACACAGGTATGAAACTCGAAAATATTTGTTTGATAGATGAGTATGTGACTCGGGTGAGAGGATGGTGATGTGGAATGGAGAGATAGGATGGGTTAGAAAGGTGAGATGGGTTTGAGGAGTTGGGTGGAAGATAGTTATTGTTGAGAGGGGTTGAATGGGTTTGAGTGAGTGAGTGAGTGAGTATGGTTTTACGCCGCTTTTAGCAATATTTCAGCAATATCACGACGGGGGACGCCAGAAATGGGCTTCTCGCATTGTACCATTTCGGGAATCGAACCCGAGTATTCGGCGTGACGGGCGAACGCTTTAACCACTAGGCTACCCGACCTGTGGTGGAGAGGGGTTGGGTGGGTTTGAGGAGCTGGGTTGAGGTGTAGTGATGGTGGAGAGGGGTTGGATGGGTTTGAGGAGCTTGGTTCAGGTGAGTGATGGTGGAGAGAGGTTGAATGGGTTTGAGGAGCTGGGTGGAGGAAGGTGGTGATGGCGGAGAGGGGTTGGATGGGTTTGAGGAGTTGGATGGAAGGCAGTGATGGTGGAGAGGGGTTGGATGGGTTTGAGGAGCTAGGTGGAGGAAGGTGGTGATGGTGGAGAGAGGATGGATGGGTTTGAGGAGCTTGGTTGAGGTGAGTGATGGTGGAGAGGGGTTGAATTGTTTTGAGGAGCTGGGTGGAGGTTGGCTGGGTTTGAGGATCTGGGCCGAAGATAGTGATGGCGGAGAGGGGTTGAATGGGTTTAAGGAGTTGGTTGGAGGTGAGTGGTGGTGGCGCGGGGTTGGCTGGCTTTGAGGATCTGGGCCGAAGATAGTGATGGCGGAGAGGGGTTGAATGGGTTTAAGGAGTTGGTTGGAGGTGAGTGGTGGTGGCGCGGGGTTGGCTGGGTTTGAGGATCTGGGTGGAAGATAGTAATGGCGGAGTGGGGTTGAATGGGTTTGAGGAGTTGGGTAGAGGTGAGTGGTGGTGGCGCGGGGTTGGCTGGGTTTGAGGAGTCTGGTGGAAGATAGTGATGGTGGAGTGGGGTTGAATGGGTTTGAGGAGTTGGTTGGAGGTGAGTGATGGTGGAGAGGGGTTGAATGGGTTTGAGGATCTGGGTGGAAGATAGTGATGGCGGAGAGGGATTGAATGGGTTTGAGGAGCTGGGTGGAAGGTAGGAGGGGTAAGGTTGAGGGGCAGCTGTGGAGTCATAAGGTGGGGTGGGGTGTCCGAGATGGAGGGAGCGGTACAGTGGGGTGGCATGGGGAGAAGGGTTGTTGGGATGTGTGTCTCATTTTATGGAGATCGGAGTCATTTGAATTTATGAAAATATAATCTGTTTTGAACCAGTGTATTATGCATGATGTATTAGACCTTAACTCTCTTATACACACTTGCACTTCCCCGGCTCACAAGAGGTATTATTCCGCGACTCACATGTCACATGAAACACAGACTAAACTCTGGACTTTACCATCCTCATTATACGGACACTATGACACGCGACTCCACGCTAAGTAATGAAACGGCAATCGATCATTATTATGATTAATTTCCTAATTTCGACTCCTGATTGATATTTTCATGCGGAGACATACCTCTCAATCGTTTCCTCTGTCGATGCCATCTTGATCACTTCCTCATATTAAAGCCGGCGAAATCCAAGGCTTGTCGTAAATCTAACCACACCGCTTGCCATCGTACGTGATCAGAGTTCAAATATTGGTAAGTCGAGGCTTTAAACCATCATGTTTCGGATAGGTATGGTCTTGAAACTTCAAAGTAATTGATGTTTCGCATTAAGACCATTGCTAGAATGTCAAGGATCTATCCCTGCGGATATGTCTGATTCGGTAATTTCACTGGTATAAGTTTGTACTTTTGGAAGCTCCAATCTGCCATGGTAAAGCATGTTTGAGCATTCCCTAGTTGTACCAAACGCTCAGTGAAATCAAGCCCCCTCCCCCACCCCACCCCACCCCCCCCCCCCCCCCACCCCCCCCACCCCCCCACACACACACATACATTGCTGCACTAGCGATACCACTATGGCAGAGAGTAGCTTCAGTAAGCTCAAATTTCAAATTTCAAATTAAAATTCGCTCTGTGTAAATAGAGTATCAACGTTGATGCAATACTCACCTGTACATACACGGTCATCACTAACTGTCTTTATGTAACTGCTGTGTTATGGTTACATGTATGATCAACTCTGATATTGAAAGATCAACTCAGATATTGAAAGGTTCAACTCTGATATTGAAAGTTTCAACTCTGATAGTGAAAGATCAACTCTGATAGTGAAAGATCAACTCTGATAGTGAAAGATCAACTCTGATATTGAAAGGATCAACTCTGATATTGAAAGGATCTACTCTGATATTGAAAGATCAACTCTGATATTGACAGATCATCTCTGATATTGAAAGATATTCTCTGATAGTGAACGATCAACTCTGATATTGAAAGGATCAACTCTGATATTGAAAGATCAACTCAGATAATGCAAGATCAACTCTGATATTGAAAGGATCATCTCTGGAGAAAGTTGAAAGGATCAACTCTGATGGTGAAAAGATCAACTCTGATAGTAAAATGATCAACTTTGACAGTGAAAGATCATTTCTGATTGTGAAAGATCATCTCTGATAGTGAAAGGATTATTTCCGAAAGTGACAGGATTATCTCTGATAGTGAAAGTACCAACTCTGATAGTGAACGGATCAACTCTGATAGTGAAACATCAACTCTGATATTGAAAAAGAAACTTCATGTTGTGTTTTTTCTTTATATCAACCATCCACAAATATTCAGTTCTGCTCGGATCTGACAGCGGAGTACATCCTTACTATGATGTGCAGTGTACTTGTATCTGTTGTTGGTATTTACACGTGTCAGTCATTCACAGAAACGTCAGTAGTATTTTCAATGGCTTTATTTCCTGACATCACACTCACTGCCCATACAAACATCAGTTCAACACTACTGAGACAACTGATCAGAATACATAACACATTTATATTTGGATCAACATTAAAGAGAGCTTCAGTTGTACACGCATATATAACACAGAACACATGCACCCGAGCTGCACAACATCAATATATATATATATATATATATATATATATATATATATATACATATATATATATATATATACATACATACATATATATGTATTTCGTAGCAAATTAAGTAGCTTCAAATTCGTTGTCTCTACCGGTCTGTGGAACAGTGTCTACTCTATATCACAATCAAAAGTGTTATAAAATTTAAATAAAACCTCATTACCTCGAAATCTGTAGTTAATGCGAACGTTATACAAGCAGACAGTGACGGTAAGCAAGTGACATATCGAGTTATATGAGTTCGAGGTAAAGAGGTTTCATTTTGACCCTCTTCACTTAACTCTCAAAAAACATACTGGTGACGAATATTTTGTTGCCCGCGGGTCCTGCTGACGACCCCAATCAGCAGGATCTGCAGAAACCTCTGTCCATATAGTAAGGCCATGATAAATTAAGTATTACATTTTCAGCCCAGCCCGCCTCACTATCACACATCCACCTCACATCACTGTGTGTTACATCCTTCTTTACCTGATGACATTATACATTGTCCAGCTTAACATGTTCTTGTGAATCACATCCATTGAAGCTAATCTAAACATGTGTCTTGAATAGTATTCCTAGACATTAATATAAAGTGTAATATAAAAAATTAAATGCCTCTCGACTAGCATTTTGATTATTTTATGAACATCGAGTAACAAATAATTGTGGTCTAAATACTAGAACTTCACTTACATACATGTATGTTGCCCTACTCTGTGCAGAAGAATTAATCAACCACATAACATTTTCATCACGATCATTGTTCAACATTAGTTGTGGAAACACATTATATTGTGGAAACACATTATAGAAAAAACCCGGCGTCTGACAAACTTGTCTAAGTCTCCATTCACATGCTGACCTTTACTCATGGGGTATTTGTGCATATGGGGTTTGAGTGCATATTTACTTTCTGATCGGGCGACGTTGCGATTATGTCATGGGTGGAATCTGACGACTACATACAGGTTATCTCTCGACTCGAAGATAGCTTTTCAACATCAGTCATCGTGAACAGAAGAGGCAGAGATATTTTCCAGTCTCCTTGTGTACAGGTCTTGTTCTGGGACAAGCCCAGGAAAATAGAATTTGGATGAGGAAACGATCCCATGATTGGTGGACTAGGGGAAACCTTTGACGACGATAATTTGGTTCCACATGTCCGAACAATGAATGCAACTTCTATATTCAAAGTGAAGAACATCTTCCTATTTTGTCCAATCAACGTAAACATTCACCCTGTTTACATTTATTAATTTTTTTGTGAGCAAATATTTTTTAATATCCTTTTTCAATATTTCTTTTGGGCATTCAAATTTACCCCAGGAGTATCTATCCACACATATGGTTCACATGACAATTATTTCAATCCTATGTACATTCACGTAAATAAAACCATGAGTAAAAGTCCACATGTGAAGGGGGTTGATGACAGTGCCAGAAGTATTGGAGGAACTGAAGGAATAAGACCGTTATAGAGTCACACATCTGCGTCAATAACCAGTACGATATGCTTTGACCCAACTCGTCCACATTTGTACATAGAGTAGGACAACAGGTAGACGAACGGCTAGCACAACATGCATAGGTCATGATGGGTGGATGTAATTCAGGCACCGTCACACCACCTCCATTCACGGTATTTTCAGTTACAATTATTTTTGATTATATTCAACGCTTGTATAACACTGTCACCAAAGAGAATCATCACCAAGACTTGCTCTTGAACCTTGTACAGCTCCATTGCAACACTGAGTTCATAATCCATAAGGTATCATTTTGTAGCATTGCAACACCCAAATATATTCGTACCTAGCAATGACACTACTGCAACGTTGTTCATAGTAACGAATAACGGAATATGACAGCCTTTTCACAAACGCCATGAATGTTAACACATCATCATGTTAGCAGCAATGTCCATAAGTCTTAGCACATCACTTTGTCCCCACTGCAAAATTGTCCGTTAGTTGTAGCTCATTACTTGTGAGCAGTACAACATAGTCAATTAGTTTTAGCACATCATTTGTGATTAGTGCAACATTGTCCATTAGTTGTAGCACATCACTTATGAGCAGTGCATCATTGTCCATTAGTTTTAGCACATCATCTGTGAGCACTGCAACATTGTCCATTAGTTTCAGCACACCACATTGTGAACATTGCAACATTGTCCAAAACTTTTAGCAAATCAACTTGTGAGCAATGCAACATTGTCTCTAAGTTTAGCACACCACCTTATGGGGACTGCAACATTGTCCATACGTTTTTAGTATGCATTATCACACACCATCTCAGCAGCAATGTCCATAGATATTAGCACATCACCTTGTGAGCACTGCAACATTGTCCATAAGTGTTAGCACATCACCTGGTGAGCACTGCAAAATTGTCCATAAGTTTTAGCACATCACCTGGTGAGCACTGCAACATTGTCCATACATTTTAGTATGAATTAGCACACGACCACCTCAGCAGCAATGTCCATAAATATTAGCACATCACCTTGTGAGCACTGCAACATTGTCCATATGTTTTAACACATCGTCATGTCAGTACTGCGACAATGTCCGTCAGCGTTCTCATGTGAGCCTGTGAGCACTGCAACAATTCCAGTTGTCCGTCGAATATCATTAGGGAACAGCAAGGCGACCACTCTTAGTTACTCAGCATGGGAGTACTGCAAAATATTCCATATACCGTAGTTCATCGCCATCATGGACACATGATCATTGAGTCTTATTGAGACTTCTGAGACCTCTGTGACTACGGTACGACTTGTCGAGAGTTGTTAGGCTTCTGTGACCTCGGTACGTCTTATTGAGCTTTATGAGACTTCTGTGACTACGGTCGACTTGGCGAGTCCTATGAGGTTTCTGTTATCATGTTACGACTTACGAGTCTTACTTGGCTTCTGTGACTATGGTACGACTTGTCGAGTGGTGTTAGGTTTCAGTGACTGCGGTATGACTTACGAGTCTTACTTGGCTTCTGTGACTATGATACGACTTGTCGAGTGTTATTAGGCTTCTGTGACTACGGTACGACTTGTCGAGAGTTGGTAGGCTTCTGTGACCTCGGTACGTCTTATTGAGCTTTATGAGACTTCTGTGACTACGGTACGACGTGTCGAGTGTTATTAGGCTTCTGTGACTACGGTACGACTTGTCGATAGTTATTAGGCTTCTGTGACTACGGTACGACTTGTCGAGAGTTGTTAGGCTTCTGTGACCTCGGTACGTCTTAGTGAGCTTTATGAGACTTCTGTGACTACGGTCGACTTGGCGAGTCCTATGAGGTTTCTGTTATCATGTTACGCCTTACGAGTCTTACTTGGCTTCTGTGACTACGGTACGACTTGTCGAGTGTTATTAGGCTTCAGTGACCACGGTACGACTTGTCGAGTGTTATTAGGCTTCTGTGACCACGGTACTACTTGTCGAGTCGTATTTGGCGTCTGTTATTACGGTACGACTTGTCGAGTGTTATTATACTTCTGTGACTACGGTACGACTTGTCAAGTGTTATTATGCTACTGTTGCTACATTACGACTTGTCAATTGTTATTAGGCTTCTGTGACAATGGTACGACTTGTCAAGTGCTATTAGGGTACTGTGACTACGGTACGACATGTAAAGTGTTATCAGTCTTCTATTACTATGGTAAACGTGTCGAGTGTTTTTTGGCTTCTGCGACTACGGTACGACTTGAGTGTTATTAGGCTTCAGTGACTGCGGTACGCCTTGTCAAGTGTTATTATGCTTCTGTGACCACGGTACGACTTCTGCTTACATCATAGGAGTCCGAGTCCTTCCCAATGTACCGACGTCCACTGCAAGAAGTAAACCAACATTCAGGAAATGTAAGCTTGACAATTAAAGAAGGTGCAGGTACGATTATGCCCTATATTTGTATCGGATCTCCAGACCGTGATCTTTAGAATCATCCTTGCAGTACCATCACAGAAGAAACATAGGAGGTTGTACTCTGAACGGTATATGATATAAACTCATATTGATCAGATTATCCACATGCACATCAAAGTCCAATCCACATCCACACCCACATCCATGTCCACCTTCACATCCAAGTCCACCTCAACATCCAAGTCCACATCCACATCCACATCCACATCCACATCCACATTCACATCCAAGTCCACCTCCACATCCAAGTCCACATCCACATCCAAGTCAATATCCATGTCCACATCCACATCCACATTCACATTCACATCCACATCAATCTCCACATCCATGTCCACATCCTTGTCCACATCCACATCCAAGTCCACATCCATATCCATGTCCACATTCAAGTCCACATTCACATTCACATTCACATTCACATCCAAAGTCCACATCTATGTCCACATCCACATCCATGTCCACATTCACATTCACATTCACATCCACATCCACATTCACATCCACATTCACATCCACATCCACATCCATGTCCACGTCCAAGTCAACATCCACATCCACATTCACATCCACATTCACATTCACATTCACATCCACATCCACATCCACATCCATGTCCACATCCACATCCACATCCATATTCACATCCACATTCACATTCACATTCACATCCATGTCCCCATCCAAGTCCACATCCACATCCACATCCACATCCGCATCATTGTAGGAGATGTTATCATATGGTGATGATATATCATTGAACGATACTGAAATGGGTTTGCAACAAGAAAGTTAGGATAGAAACGCTAATTCAGATCGAATTGACTGTCCTCGAATATAATGTCACCAACTGCAGAACAGTTGAATTTTAACTTGACAAAGGCAAGTTAACGTTATACGTACCCTTTAGTTGTGGAAAGGGGCTCCAGTTCATCTGTAACAGAGACAAAGACCCAATGAATCGTACAACATGGCAATATAACATTACTATAAACACGTTAACAAATCAGTTTGAATGTGTTATTTGACAAGAACATAATTGTGACAAAATACATATCTCCGTGACATTTTAAGAAATTAAAAGACGTTAGAATTGCTATTTCTTAATCAGTACGTGCCAGGGTGGTGGCAGAGATTAATGTCACTCATCGTTCTATGTCTCGTCGTGGAGCTCATTATAAAACACACACAAGCAGAATAAATGTCTTACGGTCCGTGTCAGGACAATATTTCATCGATCTTCCACTGTCTTATAAAAGAACACAAGGTAAAACTATCTCTCTAGCCTTTGCATCTGTCTTGACACATCGATTGACAGTCATTAGGGTCCCTCTCATAAGGTAATTGCTCAATGAGAGAAAATAAAGGCCATTCTTCAATCTTTCTCATCTTGTCTCCTACAGCTTGAGGAGGTGTAAAACACAGGCACTGGAGACAATCTAGGCGTTGCTGGGGTTGCAGATTGCGACGTCGGTGACGCTGACAGTGCACTTACGGTTGTTGTATCTGCGCATGTCCTTGCCATCACAAGGGAGGTAGATACAGGCACACACTGACTTGAACTCCTTCCGGAACTTGCCTTTCATAAAAGATAACAAAAAAAATCAGTAAACGATACTGAGCGTTTGCTGGAGGGTTTGGTCACAGATACACCCACACATGGACGATTGTGAATGTTCGATGTGCCTGAATATGTTATTGACATGTGGCATAAATGGGCGATGTATTTGTTTCGGATTTAGACGTGAGGTAAGGTCATTTTTCTAAATCTTCAGAATCATCATGGCAGTACCATCACAGAAGAAACATATCAGGTTGTACTCGAAAAGGTAAATGATGTATACTCATGTTGATCAGATCTAGACTAGCCACATCAGAACGGGACAGCCATTGGGAGAGATGGTGGTGACAGATGATAGATGGATATTGAACTGAGCTTGCAACAAGAAAGTTAAGATAGTAACGCTAATTCAGGTCTAATTGACTTCCCTTGCAAAGATGAAACTACAGAAGAGATGAATTATAACTTGACATAGTTGGCGTTCCAAGTACCCAACGACCTACGTCTAATTACGAATGATCTGTCTTGAGTTATATATATTGTACGTCCCGAGTGATGACCAGGGTCTTATTTCTCGAGGGACAGTGATATGTTCGTTGTATGATTCAGCCTCTTGATGTCAGTAGCCAGCTTGAATAAACAACAACATTAATGTGGCTGATTTGACCCCATTAGCTTTCTGTATGAAATATGCCCAGGCTTACCGCTCATGAAGTTGTAGATAATTGGGTTGATGGAGCTGTTGAAGTAGACGAGCCAGTGAGCTGAGAGCGTGCAGATAGACACCGAATGAGGATGGATCATTGCAATCAGCGAACTGTCGGTCAATCTGAAGGAGATCAAACATCATTCAATCAAAACCAATCTTTGAAAAATGATTGTGTGTTCCCTACTATGCCAAACATACAAAAGGCATTTTAAAAGTAATTTTGCAGTTAACCATAAACAGATTCCAGTCAAATTCTACAACAAATTTATTTTTCAGGAAATATTCCACTGATCCATTCAATAGATATAAGTACCGCAGTAAAGATTGTGTCTGGAATTAGGCGAGTCTCTCAAAAGGAAATAATTTTTATATCACATTAGATGTAAAAAGCTTCGATATACTGTTAAAAGGATGTTCAGTTAAAAAAACAGTTTAATAAGTTGACCACAAAAGAAAAAGAACCAACTGTTGAGTCTTACATAGAACTCCATGAAAATATTGACACTTCCACATTGATGATATATAAAAACGACCGTTAACTAACAAAATTAAATTCTGAATCTGCATTAAAACGTGTACGACCAATAAACTTCCCTTAACTTATAAAAATTTATAAAAGCACTGAAAACAAAAATATAAAACCCGATGATGTTACAATGGAGTTCTACACATTCATATGAAAACAAAGTTAACAACTATTCTTTAAACTCCTTAACTCCCGCTATGAATGAAGGGGAATGAACAACTAGACTCATACCATGCATCCACGAAGGTAATTAACCGAAGAATTACACAACAAAAATTGAGCAAAATTTCCCTATCAAATGTTTCATATAAGTTAGCTTCTGTTAAAATAGACCATCGCATTAAGATACTATGAGTGTAAAGCAAGTGATTCATAATTCATGTGAACAATAAGGTATTATTATCTTCTAGATACATGAGAAAATTAACAATAGTGATATGTGACGTAATGAGTAATACATAAGTAAGACATTTACATGGGAAGGAAACACAAACCTATCTCATCAAGCTCCACGTATATATGGGGAGGAAACACAGACCTATCTTATCACCTCCCACGTGTGTATGGGAACGACGCACAGACCTACCTCATCATGTTCCACGTGTACATGGGGAGGAAACACAGACCTACCTCATCAAGTTCCACGTGTAGATTGGGAGGAAACACAGACCTACCTCATCAAGTTCCACGTGTACATGGGGAGGAAACACAGACCTACCTCATCAAGTTCCACGTGTAGATTGGGAGGAAACACAGACCTACCTCATCAAGTTCCACGTGTACATGGGGAGAAAACACAGACCTACCTCATCAAGCTCCACGTGTACATGGGGAGGAAACACAGACCTACCTCATCAAGTTCCACGTGTAGATGGGGAGGTAACACAGACCTACCTCATCAAGTTCCACGTGTACATAGGGAGGAAACACAGACCTACCTCATCAAGTTCCACGTGTACATGGGGAGGAAACACAGACCTACCTCATCAAGTTCCACGTGTACATGGGGAGGAAACACAGACCTACCTCATCAAGTTCCACGTGTACATAGGGAGGAAACACAGACCTACCTCATCAAGTTCCACGTGTAGATGGGGAGGTAACACAGACCTTCCTCATCAAGTTCCACGTGTACATGGGGAGGAAACACAGACCTACCTCATCAAGTTCCACGTGTACATAGGGAGGAAACACAGACCTACCTCATCAAGTTCCACGTGTACATGGGGAGGAAACACAGACCTACCTCATCAAGTTCCACGTGTACATGGGGAGGAAACACAGACCTACCTCATCAAGTTCCACGTGTATATGGGGAGGAAACACAGACCTACCTCATCAAGTTCCACGTGTAGATGGGGAGGAAACACAGACCTACCTCATCAAGTTCCACGTGTACATGGGGAGGAAACACAGACCTACCTCATCAAGTTCCACGTGTACATGGGGAGGAAACACAGACCTACCTCATCAAGTTCCACGTGTACATGGGGAGGAAACACAGACCTACCTCATCAAGTTCCACGTGTACATGGGGAGGAAACACAGACCTACCTCATCAAGTTCCACGTGTACATGGGGAGGAAACACAGACCTACCTCATCAAGTTCCACGTGTACATGGGGAGGAAACACAGACCTACCTCATCAAGTTCCACGTGTACATGGGGAGGTAACACAGACCTTCCTCATCAAGTTCCACGTGTACATGGGGAGGAAACACAGACCTACCTCATCAAGTTCCACGTGTACATAGGGAGGAAACACAGACATACCTCATCAAGTTCCACGTGTACATGGGGAGGAAACACAGACCTACCTCATCAAGTTCCCCGTGTACATGGGGAGGAAACACAGACCTACCTCATCAAGTTCCACGTGTACATGGGGAGGAAACACAGACCTACCTCATCAAGTTCCACGTGTACATGGGGAGGAAACACAGACCTACCTCATCAAGTTCCACGTGTACATGGGGAGGAAACACAGACCTACCTCATCAAGTTCCACGTGTACATGGGGAGGAAACACAGACCTACCTCATCAAGTTCCACGTGTACATGGGGAGGAAACACATAATGAACACCAGCACCACCACAATCAACATCCGGGCAGCTCGTCTACGGGCTTGTAGTTGCGCTGTCACAGCTGACTGTTCCCCCTCTGTAACAAGACGGCAAAAATAAATATCATTGAAAGACGCAATTGATAGTAAAATGGTTCACAGTCGAATCTTTGTGACATCGCGAAATGTTACGCAAAATTAAATGTTGCATTAAATGTAAGGTTTGGTTGGTTGGTTATTTAACACCGCGCATAATATAAGCTCGATTGTGACGTTCGCAGTATTTTACTGATGATGCATATGATTTGGTTTGTTGTTTAACGCCGCACTCAGCAATATTCCAGCTTTATGACGGCGGTCTGTAAATAATCGAGTCTGGGCCAAACAATCCAGTGATTAATATCATGAGCATCGATCCACGCAATTGGGATCGATGACATGCATCAACCAAGTCAGCGATTCTGACCACCCGATCCCGTCAGTAGCCTCTTACGACAAGCATAGTCGCCTTTTACGGCAAGCATGGGCTGCTGAAGACCTATACTACCCCGGATCTTCACGGGTCATTGCATGTGATCTACATAAAAAATACGTGTTTGGCTAAGAATATGTTGAAATTAGCTTGTCAGTTATCTGTTATGAATTACAATACTATGTTAACTAAGCTTGAGGAGACGCAATTTATGGATAACAACTTATTTATTTACTGTAAAGGCGACCTTGCGTCAAGCAAGGCTGACAACAGTATAAGGATCTATACCGAAACGCTATCATTACAGTAAATAAAGAAGTTGTTATCGACAATTTGTGTCTACTTTGTCATCGTCAACCTCTAAGTAATACCTTTCAAACATTTCAACTTGATAAGCAAAGGTTACGAGTGGGGTGTATAGAGGATATTATGCGAATGTCCGTGTCGTTTCGAGTGCAGAACTTATTGCAGTAAAGACGTCGAATGGCTCAATTATTTTTTAGACGAAAGATGGAAGTGTGTGATGGCGTCATGAACTAATTACCAATTCGCTGACATCTGATATGCGCTTACAATAAAGTGCAAACTGGTTTGGTATTTGAAATAATAACATAAATATTATGACTGTCAAACACTTTCGGTTTAGCTTATATTTAAAGTACAATGTTCTGATCAGCGAAGTCGTTTGACCATTGTAAATGTAAAAGTACAGTGCCTTCTAAGAAAAATCTATCATCGCCTAGTTTTTCAGCCATGTCAGCCCTCAGTATCCTATCGTTATATCTTGTCTTTTGTGCAATGTTTTTTTTCTGATCTGCCACAAAATCATCAACTTCATCATCTCCAACCTCCACAACCCTCGAAGATATAACTTTACTTGACAGCTCTGATTTGTCAAACTCATAAAAAATGTTGTTTCCTAAAAAATCACAAATAAATGACTTTCGTCGTACATATGAATCTTGGTCAGGGGTAATTCGATTTACTGTTACGGGAAGTACTTGCATACGTTGGCGATGGACCTGCTTCACAACATCAATTGTCTGTACAATGTATACACTGAATGTCCGGAGATGCTGAGTGACACTTTTAACCACATAAATTGTGTTTCTTGTTATGTTTGGCATTGTTGTATATGCAGAGATTCAAATTACCGTGTATCTTATCTCGTAAACTAAGCCGGAAAGAGCAATCAGCTGTCCACACATTTTCTCCTACATGTGATTCAGGTAAAAAAGTCCAATAATATATCGTAAAGTTTTTTGGGGCAATGATCGGAAGAAATTGTATCTGAAACCATATTTTACCAGGAATAATATTATATGCATTCCAATATCATGTTATTTTAGTTGTCGATGAATAATAGTAAAATTACAACAAAAACGACTTTTAACGAGTCCATATTTGTTTATGATATATGTATCCATTCTCTGTCAACTAAGGTTCGTTTCAAGGCGTCAATAGCAGTGATCTGATCGTGGTTGCTGTGAATAACGTAGAGTTGGTGCTATCTGCTCGTCAGTTCACACACGATTTCGATAAAATTAATGTAAATAGTATTGAATGAAATACGGAACAACTTGGGATAGCAGAAATACGAAACTTCAATAAAAACAACTATTTATTCCACTTCACGCTATGTTGAGCAGTATAATTAAAACACTTACGAGAAATTACGTAATGGCTTTCGTTAGTTCTTTCACGGACGCACTCTTCTCCGCGCTAATAAGCGCTGCTCTTTGCCGTTTGATTAGATTAATGTTCGATTAAATACATAGCGGTTAAACCCCACGGAAGTAATTTTTCCCTCTAAAATTCTACTGGGATCGGGTGGAAATCGCATTCATTTAGAGTCAGCAGTCGTATTAATTTAGGGACGCATTAATTCAATATTTTAAAAATTAATATAAATGTCATGGTAATATAGCGTGCCTACAAAACTATACATATACGAGGGTTAACAGATAACCTTTGAGCATAAGCAGGGATCCGTGATCTTTGGAAAATAGACAAACGTGCAGTGATCAAGTATTTGCAGGCAAAGGGTATTAACATTAAAAGCCATCAAGTAAGGATAAGAATTAATGGATGAACAACTTCTTTATTACAATTAAGAACGACGTTTCGGTGTAGGTTCTAACACCGTTATCAAGCAAGTGTTAGGACCTACACCGAAACGTCGCTCTTAATTGTAATAAAGAAGTTGTTCATCCATAAATTCTTATCCTTACTAAGTACTCCAACTTCTAAATGCCCATCAAAGAAATGAAAAGCCATCCTTGAAGAAATGACAACACGAAGGAAGAATGTTCCTTCCTTTGCCGCTGTAAAGAGGTGGGCAGAATTAAGTGTGGCGTGGAAGGACTGTGACGTCAACGACACCAAATGATCCAGAGAATCCGCGATATAGTTATGACCGACCGGCGAATGAATAGGCGACATATTGCTCGTTTAGTATGCATTTCCCAGGAGAGAGTACATTCTATAATCACAGAAACTTTGACAATGGCAGAAATGATCAGGTCGTTGGGTTCCAAAGCGTCTCATCAAAAAGCACCAGGCACAACATGCCTCTTGATAATCTAGCTCTGTCTGAAACTGATCCAGACAGGCTCTTGCAAAGATTTGTTACTGTTGATAAGGAATTGGGCTCACCACTACCAAACAACAATCAAGACAGTGGAAGCATTTGACATCACCACCACCAAAAATAGCAAAGACTGTTCCATCGGCTGGAAAGGTTATGGCCTCCATGTTCTGGGATACAGAGAGTGTCATCATCATGGACTATCTTCCAAAAGGCCATACAATAAACGGAGCACGTTGTGCTTCACCTTTGAGACACTTCAGGATGAAATGATGACAAAGAGACGTGGGAAGCTGAAAAAGGGCGTGCTCGTCCTCGGGACATTGCTCCAGTTGACAAAATAATGCCATTTCTACATCCAGCTTATTTGAACTCCTTCAGCACCGACCCTATTCTCCGGATCTGGGCCCATTTGCACAAAGCGATCTTAGCGCTACGACTCTTGAAAGCCTATGTTAAAGCATGGGAGTTACGATCATCTTAGCGCTAAAATTGCGTTGTGCAAGCGGGCCCTGTCCTTCAGCTTTTCCGAAACATGAAGAAAGCTCTAGCCAGAACCCATTTGGAATCGACCGATGACGTCAAGCAAATGAGGAGAAGGGCAGCCAAGAGAAGGACTTCTACGACACTTGGATAAAATCGTTGGATAAGTATAGCAATGTAGAAGGGGATTATGTTGAAAATTGGTTCATTTCAATGTCATTTTACCTGAGGCTCAGAACTTATCAATCATCCCTCGTACATGTCCATACGTCAAGGTATATGGATGGAGTAGGTACACTGAATAACTATACATACATACGCCACGTTAATATAGGGAACATCCATAGTACTATACAAGGAGACGTCATGGTCATACATGTATAGAGAGCTCCCATAGAACTATATGCAGATACGTCAATGTAATATAAATAATGTCCATGGAAATATACGCAGAAAAGTCAACGTTATATTGAGAGCATCCATAGAAATATACCCATATTCGTCACGGTTATACAGAGAACAGCCATAGCACTATACACATATACGTCACTGTTATATTGAGAGCATCCATAGAACTAAACACATTTTCGTCACGGTTATATAGAGAGCAGCCATAGAAATATACCCATATTCGTCACTGTTATATTGAGAGCATCCATAGAAATATACACATATACGTCACGGTTATATAGAGAGCATCAATGGAAATATACACATATTCGTCACAGTTATATAGAGAGCATCCATGGAAATGTACACATATTCGTCACGGTTATATAGAGAACAGCCATAGCACTATACACATATACGTCACTGTTATATTGAGAGCATCCATAGAACTAAACACATTTTCGTCACGGTTATATAGAGAGCAGCCATAGAAATATACCCATATTCGTCACTGTTATATTGAGAGCATCCATAGAAATATACACATATACGTCACGGTTACATAGAGAGCATCAATGGAAATATACACATATTCGTCACGGTTATATAGAGAGCATCCATGGAAATGTACACATATACGTCACGGTTATATAGAGAGCATCAAGGGAAATATACACATATTCGTCACGGTTATATAGAGGGCATCAAGGGAAATATACACATATACGTCACGGTTATATAGAGAGCATCCATAGAAGTTTAGAGTGCAGACATAAAATACTAGTATACGCAGGCACGAGAGGGTAATAGAGGGAACATCCCGATAACTATACAAATAAACGTCACGGTCACTAGTATTAGAGAGAATAAATAGAAGTTTACTCAAGTACGTCAAGGTTATATAGAGTGCAGCCTGCGCAGATACGCGTGGACCTATTGCACTAAAGTTCATATGAGTGGTAACATATGAGGATACATGGCGCTGAGAGTACGACACGGGAATGACATTATCTATTTGATCATTAAGGGCAAAATCCGTCCGGTGGTTCCGAAAGTGGAAACTATTCAGTGCATGCAAGTAGGGGAGTTTGTAAATTGAAACTGTCGTTTAACGCATCGTTAGCGATTACATCCCATTGCTTTCTAATGAGAACGGAATGTGATAA